GTCGTCGTCGTCCTCGTCATCATCACAAACAACGACAGCAACATCATCAGCATCTTCAGAATCACCATCATAATGAGTTGACTCCTCATCCAAATTACTCAGCCCCAAGACGCTGCGGAAGCACGGTGACGAAGCCTGCAATAGTCTCGGCCGGTTGGGTACCATGAAGACTACTTCTGCGACCACCTACGAATACATGAACACGGGGGGTCCAGACACTCAGGAACCCAAGAAAGCCTGGGCCCAATAGCTCAATCCGGAAACCATGAGTCACAAAAATTGGCACGTTTGGGGGAAGCGCGTTTTGTTTCCGAGGGCTTCCGCAGGCCTTCCGCCGGCGGAGCCGCGCACATTTTACTTTCGCCGCCTCTCGCTGGCCTTCCGCCGAAGAAAACGTTAAACTGCTCGATCCGTCGAGGCGTCGCCGCCGCTCAGGGCGAGTGGCGGTTTTTGGGGGTGGTGCCGCCCGTCGCCGCCGTCGCCGTCGCCGCCGTTCGGGGCGAGTGGCGGCTATTGCGGGCGGTGCAGCCCGTCGCCGCCGTCGTCGTCGCATAGATTGCGCCACATCAATTCTACTTTCTGGATTCATCCCCCCCCGGCTTTATCCGTACACGTTTTTTGTGTTGCAATGTGTGTATGATTCTGCCTTATCGCCCACCCTAAATATGAATTCGCACCATCCCAACCCGGCCGGGTTCGACACCCCCCCCGCCATCCTCTGACCAACAACGCCCTTGCGCGCACACCTGTTTATCAGAGACCGTAAGTTTTCAAGAATCCCTTGAAACACTTGGAACGAAGTGCGCACGCGCGCGCCGTCGCGCGCGCATGCTGAAATCCTTCAAAAACCTTTTGAGTTCGTAAGGGTTTCAAAATCGAGTGCCAAAACACATCTAAAAACAGAGGGTTTCGCAACACGGATTGTCCAAACAAGCTCGCACGCTTGTGTTAATTCTGGATATAACCATTGTTATTACAACATGTTCATAACATGCTACCAAACGAGCTCCGCGCGCGCATGCCCAAATCTTTCGAACGCCTTTGCGCGCGTGTTGGGGTGGCACGATCCGTTTCAAAAAAAACACGCGGCCCACTCTCGCGCGCCTGCCGCGCGCGCACCTCGAACTCCTTCCAAAACCTTCATCACCGACGCGAAGACGCCGTCATAGTCGGCGGCGTGATCAGCATCGGTGCCGTCGCCGGCTGCCCCGTCGTCGCAATCAGCATCGTCACCAGCATCGCTACTATTATCATCGTGAGTACCGTTGTCGGCGTTGCCATGATACCGCGCCCGCACAAGTCGACGACTCGCACTGAAATGCCCGCTGGGACGTACCGAGCGGTCAGCGCCACCGCGTTCGCGTCGGTCGAGCCAACTAGCTGGCCGCTGCGCGCGCGTGTTTGGGTTGGCGCGGCCGCATAGATGCACCAGCCAACGCCAAGCATGCATCGCAACCGCGACCGATTAGGCTTTGCAAACAAAGTTGCGGGTGGTTGGGTGGGATGCTTGCAAGAGGATGGGATGTGCCCACTCGTTTGCTAAATTCAATTGCGCCAGATAGGTTGCACCGCATAGACTGAATTTCATGAGTTGCACCTCGTAGACTCTCCCCTTTTTCAAAAACATGATTATACCCCCATCACCCCCCACAGGGTCATCCGCCACGCGTTTCGATTGGAAATTCAAATGTGCTCGTGACCCTTCGTTCATTTTCGGAATGACCATCCCAGGCCAGCCGGCATCGACCACCCATCTTCCTTGCAAAAATACTATGCGCGCGCACCCTTCTATCCAAAGTCTTACGCGTTCATGATTCCCTTGCAAAAAAAACGGACGAAGTGCACACGCGCGCGTCGTCGCGCACGCATGTCGAAATCCTTCAAAAAAACCTTCGGTGTCAGAAGGATTTCGAAATCGAGTGTCCGAAAAAAGTGTAAAACATGGTTTCGCAACGTGGGTTTTCGAAAAAGCGCGCGCGCGCTCTTGCGTCGCCGTCGTCGTCGTCGTCCTCCTCCTCCTCCCTCCTCCCTCGTCGTCGTCGTCGTCGCCGTCGTATTCCTCGATTTTTCCTCGTCGTCGTCGTCGTCGTCCTCTTTGGCGTCGTCGTCGTTTCCGTCGTCGTTGTCGCCGTGGTTGTCCTTCCTCCTCCCTCGTCGTCGCCGTCGCCGCCGTCGGCATCTCGTCGTGGTGCCTCCTATTTCGTCGCCGTCGTCTTCCCTCATCCCTCGTCGTTGTCGTCGTCGGCGTCGCCGTTCTCCCTCTTTCGTCGTTCGCGTCGTCGCCGTCCTCCCTCCTCCCTCGTCGTCGTCGTCGTTGTCGCCGTCGTCGTCCTCCCTCCTCCCTTATCGTCGTCGTCGTCGTTGGCGACGTCGTTGTTGTCGTCGCCGTTGTCTTAATCGTCGTCGTCGTCAGCGTCGACGTCGTCGTCGTCGTCCTCGTCGTCGGCGTTGACGTCGCCGTCGTCGTCGTCGTCGGCGTCGTCATCGTCGTCGTCGTCGTTGGCGTCGGCGTCGTCGTCGTCATCTTCGTTGGCGACGTCTTCGTCGTCGTCGTTGTCATCGTCGTCGAAGTCATCGGAGACGTCGTCGGTGTCGTCGTAGTCGTCGTCGTCGTCGGCGTCGTCGTAGTCGGCGTCGTCGTCGTCGGCGTTGTCATCGTCGTCGTCGTGGGTGTCGCCGTCGTCGTCGTCGACGTCGTTGTCATCGTCGTCGAAGTCGTAAGAGACGTCGTCGGTGTCGTCGTAGTCGTCGTCGGCGTCGTCGTCGGTGTCGCTGTCTTCGTCGGCGTCGCTGTCGCTGCTAAGTGCCCTTGGGGTACCTACCGTCGCGGTCTTAAGAAGTCATGCGACCAAGTTGCGGGTGGGAGGGTGGGATGTTTGCACGAGCAGTGGAGAGGACAGCTTCAAGACGGCCAAAGTGAATTGCACCGCATGGATTGCATTACATAGGTTGTACCGCGTAGATGTTCTGCCACCCTCCCCCCCCGGGGTTACAACCCCCCCGGAACCGATCTAAAACACATAGGATCCTGACCCAATGTCCATCCCACCTGTGAGTTCATACTATCCCAACTCAACCGGCATCGGCCCCCACCGCCATCCAATGCAACAAAAAATATGCGCGCGCACTCGTTGATCAAAAGGCATAAATTTTCAAGAACCCCTTGCAACAAATGGGACGAAGTGCACACGCGCGCGTCGTCGCGCGCGCCTGCCGAATTCCTTCAAAAACCGTCGGTTTCGGAATGATTTCAAATTCGAGCTTTCAGAAAACATACCAAAGCACAGGGTTTCGCAACACCGAGTTTCTAAAAAAGCTTACGCGCGCGCTCTTGCGAAGTCTTAAGACAACCATGGGATTTCCAACAGTTCCAAAAGATACTACCAAACGGATTTCGCGCGCGCGCATGTCGAAATCTTTCGAACGTCCTTGCGCGCGTGCCGTCGCGAGAATCCTCTGCAAAAATGGGACGAAGTGCATCGTCGTCGTCGTCGTTGTCATCGTCGCCGTCGTCGTGGGTGTCGCCGTCGTCGTAGTCGTCGTCGTCGTCGCCGTCGGAGTCGTCGGAGACGTCGTCGGTGTCTTCGAAGGCCCTTGCGCGCATGCCGTCGCGAGAATCCTCTGCAAAGATGGGACGAAACGCACGCGCGCGCCGTCGTCGCGCGCGCATGCCGAAATCCTTCAAAAACTTCAGTTTCCGGAAGGATTTCAAAGTCCTTCCAAACAACACCAAATAACAAAAATCCTTCAACTGAAATCCTTCGAAAATCCTTCCATAAAATCCTTCCTTTCGTCGAAATCCTTCAAACATCCTTCCAACAAACATATAAAACACGGGTTCGCAACGCGGATTTCCAATAAAAGCGTGCGCGCGCGCTCTTGCGTCGCCGTCGTCGTCGTCGTCCTCCCTCCTCCCTCGTCGTCGTCGTCGTCGCCGTCGTCCTTTGTCTTTCCTCGTGGTCGTCGTCGTCGTCGTCGTCCTCTTTGGCGTCGTCGTCGTTTCCGTCGTCGTTGTCGCCGTGGTCGTCCTTCCTCCTCCCTCGTCGTCGTCGTCCGTCGTCGGGTCTCGTCGTCTTCCCTGCTATTTCGTCGCCGTCGTCGTCGTCGTCGTCGTCGTCTTCCCTGCTCCCTTGTCGTTGTCGTTGTCGTCGTCGGCGTCGCCGTCCTCCCTCCTTTCGTCGTTCGCGTCGTCGTCGTCCTCCCTCCTCCCTCGTCGTTGTCGTCGTTGCGACGTCGTTGTCGTCGTCGTCGTCGCCGTCGTCGTCGTCATCGTCAACGTCGGCGTCGTCGGCGTCGTCGGCGTCGTCGTCGTCGTTGTCATCGTCATCGTCGTCGTCGGCGTCGGCGGCGCCGTCGTCGTCGTCAAAGGTGTCGTCGTCGTCGGTGTCGTCGTCGTTGGAGACGTTGTCGGTGTCGTCGTAGTCGTTGTCGGCGGCGTCGTCGTCGTTGTCGCTGTCGTCGTCGGTGTCGCTGCCAAGTGCCATTTGGTAACTACCGTCACGGTCCTAAGAGGTCTTGCGACCAAGTTGCGGGTGGGAGGGTGGGATGTTAGCACGAGCAGTGGAGAGGACAACTTCAGGACAGTCAACGTTAATTGCACCACAGAGATTGCACCGCATAGATTTGCACCGCATGCGTTGCATCACATAGGTTGCATCGCATAAGTTGCACCACATGGATTGCACCGCACAGACTGCAAGAACCTACTCTACGGCAGACGCGTGCGTCGCACCTTCATGCCATTCCCCTCCGATCCTCTGCTCACGGTCCATCAATGCAAGGAGGAGGAGGAGGAGGAGGAGGAGGACCCCCTCCCCCTCCCACTCGTGGTCGTTGTACCTGCTTCCCTCTCGCATCCAATATCCTGATCGCCCTGGCCAGCCAGCCAGATGTTCCTGGAGACCGCCGCCACGCTCTCGCAGCCCTCGCCCCGCACGAGAGCGGGCTCGCGAGCCTCGAGAACTGCCTGGGGCGAGGAACCGACGGCGTTCGGCCACGGATCACCGCAGCGCGCAGGCGAGCTGCCCCACTTCGCCGTTGGCCCAACAGTCGCAAGCACCTGAAGGGGCCCTGGGACACACAAATAAATGCACACAAATAAAAAGATTCCCCATATTTTCCTATATTTTCTGGGTTTTTGTCTTCCCCCCCTCTTCCCATATTTTCGCATATTTTCTGGGGAATCGACGATGTATTGTGTCTGTGTGTTTTTTCCCTCCTGAGCACCGCTTGTTACCGACGCGGCCCTCATGGGTCGGGTCGGGCGAACGGGGGGATATAGCAGAGGGGGGGTCTGAGAATCAGCTCACGTATCACTGATCTTTCCCGCGCCTCCCGGCGCCGGGGGCGGCCCGGGTATCGAGGAATGGCCCCCTTCGGTGAGGCCGAAACCAGCTGACTTCTACCAGACCACCCCAACCCAACACGAAGACCCGAATTTCGGGTTGGGGGGGGTACGGGTTCCATGTGTGTTTTCTCGATGTTCCTTGACCCCCCCCCACTGGAAATCGAGGATAAATTGGGGCCTTCGGGTTGGGTTGGGGTGGATTGGTGGGTGGTGACCAGCTGCATGCAGCAAATTTCGTACCCCCCCCCCTTCCCTATATCCCCCCTCTCGCCCGGCCCGGATTTTCACCAGGAACGGCGCCGCCGTGAAGCAGCCGATGAAGGTGAACGCGCAGACCAGGACTCCGACGGCCGCGGCGGCTGCACCTCCTGCCATGGCACCAACCTGTCCGCTCGTGCACCCCGTCCTGCGCCGCCTGCGCCGCCTGCTTCCTTTCTGCGTGAGCGCGCCATCCATCCCCTTGTCCACGGCAGACCTGCGCAACTGCCCCTCCAAGCGCCTCTCGAGGGAAGCCGGCATCTCCTGCGACTGGAGCACCTCGACCATCTCTTCACGGCTCACCCAGACGATCTCCGTCCCGACAGGGATCTCGAAGGCCAGGGTGTGACCCACAGGTGCCTCACTGACGAACTCGAAGGCCATGCCCATGAAAGTGTTTGGGCTTTGCGTTGAAAGTGTGAACGTGTTGTTCTCGACGCGGTACGACGCGCTGCTGTTCCCCACGTACTCCACCCGCTCACTGTCATGAGGGCACTGCTCAGCGACGTTATCAGTGTCCTCTACAAAAAAACATCTTCAACATGACGGGGTTCGCTGTTCTGCGGTATTCCGCTGGAACATCCAGCAGCATCGCAGGAGCGTCGTTGGTACCAGCCCCCATGAACGTCACGATGTCTGGCATGTCGACTCCTGCATCTGGGTCGGGGGATATGACTGTCTTGATGATGTTCCCGCGATATTCCACTGTGGCTGTCACGTTCAAGCCTCCCGATCCTGTGTAATAGCAGATGTTGCCATTGGGGCGGCAGCAAACCCCCTTTGTAGCTGCATCCGCTATCGGCAAGTTTGTTTGCGTACTTGCGCCACGCCTCGCTCGCACGGAGATGGAGCTCGGTCTCCGACGCGGCGTGATGGTCCATGAGGTACTGGAGAGTTACCATGCCACCGTGACTGCCGGCTTCACCCGCCGCAGCGCCACGACCAGTGCGCCGGAACAGCGCCTCATCTGCTGCACTCTGCAGCGTTAGTGCCCGCAGTGGCAGGGCGAAGTTGGCGAATAGTAAGAGTACAGGGTGAACGATTGTGAGCACCATGGGTTCGACTTACCACGTATGTGTGCAATACTGAAAATAGCTTGCGCGGACGTGTTTGATCTGCAACAACTCGATTGACAATTGCTATGGTTGGGTCAGGGGCACCTTTGGCAAAACCCGGCATGCGCAAGGCGCCGCGGCCGTTCCAGAGCGCCGTGGGGCGCACCGAGAAAGCTCCCGGCTGCACGTTTTCCCCAACGTCTCCCGATGCGATCGCTCGTTTTTGGAAGCTCCCGGATGTTTTTTTCTGCACCAGCATTCGGAATGCGTTCCAGCAGCTGCGCCCCGACGAGATCGTTCCGGGGGTGCCTGAATCGTCACGAGTGCCCGCTGGAGACCCGAGGGAGGACGCGAAAGTCGAGAGTGAGTCGAGTGAGCCTTCGCCGGAGTGGCCGTCGCGCGCACGGCCTTCGCAGGACATGGGGGGGGCGGGGGGGGTCACAGCCAGGCGCGCAAGCCGCTTCTGCCGCACCGCACGCGGCGATCGGCGAGCCGCGCTTCGACGGTCACCCTTGCCAGGGGGTAATGCCTGCGCGCAGCTGACGCGGTCTAGGGTCCAGGGCGACCCATCCGCATCCTGGGCCTGGCAAGTGCTCCCCGCTCCTCGCCAGGCACTTCATCCTCTCCCTGCGAAGCGTAGCTGCTATCTGGCAGCTGGCACGCTTTGCTGCTCCCTTCAGCGGCACAGCTTCCGAGCCTTTCGCCAGAGGCTGGCCCGCACAGGGTGCGCGAGCGCCTCATGCGCGCGGTACTCTGGTGGAACAGCGAAGCCACGATGCAGAATGTAAATCCCGCTGGTCTTACAGGAAGATCTACATGTCGAAGAATTGCCAGGGCCAACCCTCCGGCCAACCCCCCAGCCAGCCCTCTGGCCAACCCTCCTGGCCAACCCCTCCAGCCAACCATGGTTGGGGCAATCCTTTTCTCACGATGCTGGTCATGATCATGGCTGGTGATCTCACGCCCCCGGCTGCTGCCTCGCCACCTCTGCCCGCTGTGATCAGACGACCGACCCCCGGAATCTCGGTCCCTCGGAGTGTCGGCGTGTCCGCCAGCTTTCCGCCGGCGCACCGCCAGCTTGAGCAGGGACCGACCGTCCCGACATTCCTATAGTCCTACCACGAAATGTTCCCAGAACCCAGAAATGTTCTAAGAACAAAAACAAGGTTCTTAGAACGTGAACCCGATATGATAAAACAAGACAGTCCCAACCATAAATGTTCGAAGAACATTTCGTGGGAACCACGAAAGGTTCTTAGAACATTGTTTGGTAGGGCTATAGGTGAGCCGGGACGCTTCGCTACTGCTTGACCGGCCTCCGCCGACGGCAAGAAAGCTCCGAAGGCGAGGGCCACTCCCCGACCGCCCCGCGTCGAGGAGGAGGAGGAGGAGGAGGAGGAGGAGGAGGAGGAGGAGGAGAAGGAGGAGGAGGAGGGAGGAGATGAGGAGGAAGGAGAGGAGGAGGAGGATGGAGGGAGGAGGAGGGGAGGAGGAGGAAGGAGGAGGAGGAGGGGGAGGATGAGGAGGGGGGAGGAGGAGGAGGAGGAGGAGGAGAGGCGGATGAGGAGGAGGAGGAGGAGGAGGGAGAGGAGGAGTGAAGGAGGAGGAGGAGTATGAGGAGGAGGAGGGTAGGGAGGGAGGAGGAGGAAGGAGGAGGATGTAGGAGATGAGGGTGACCCGGTCCAGCACTGCTTGCTTGGTACGGACGGCCGTGGGGCGTAAGGGGAGCCTGGACTCAGGAGAGTGCGCCGCGGCGGGGCCAAGACCAGCTGCCTGGCGCAGATGTCGCGCCCCCCGCCCCCCGAGCCGGCCCGAAGCACGACGGCCACTCTTCGAGCAGGGGCCGACCGTCCCGGCATTGCTATAGTCCTACCACGAATCATGTTCCTAGAACCCAGAAGTGCTCTATAAGAACAAAAACAAGGTTCTTGGAACATGAGCCCGGTGTGATAAAACAAGACAGTCCCAACCAGAAATGCTCTAAGATGATTTCGTGGGAACCGCAGAAGGTTCTAAGAACGTTGTTTGGTAGGACTACAGGCGAGCCGGGACGCTTCGCCACTGCTTGAACTCTGGCGAAAGGCCGCTCCCGCAAGTCGCCGATGAGAGGCAACGATATGGGGGGAGGACCAGCTCGGGGGGAGACCTTGGCGCAGCATCGGCGACACATCGCCGATGGATCGGCGCAAGGCCCTCGACAGCAGAGCCGAAGTTCCCGGCGCTGGCCCCCCCTCTCTGGTGCTACAGTCAACCCGCATAGCAAGGACGCGCGGTGAGGGTGCAAGGGCCTCGGGCGCCCATGCCGAGGCTCTTCGAGCGGGGCTGGCCACCGAAAGTGGTTGAAGATGGACCGAAGATCGGGAGCGGCCAAGAGGGGGGGGGTCCAAGAGGGGGGGGGTGCAAATCATTACCGGCGACATGTGCGCGGCCCATGGGGGGGGGCTGGGGACGTAATGAAATAAGACGAGGCGCCATGAGATCTGGGGAGATCTCATGGCCCCCGCCATGATATCCCCCCCCCTAGTCATCACCCCCCTCTTTTCCGTCCCCGAGAAGGCGACCGAGGCAAGGGTGCAAACAGAACTTTGGAGGCCGATCCTCCCTCGGGGGCGGCGACGGGGGCGAGTAGCCCCGGGGAGAACAATGACACGCGTGTCTGGGGGCGCCGATGGTCCATGCCCTCGGCGAGGCTCCCGGGCGAACACTTGTAATGCCCGCCCCAGGGCTGTTCGCCTTTCTCGTCT